TCACCACAAACAGGATGCTGCAGCTGCTGCACACAGGTGCGAAGGGGAGGAAACGGGGCAGAAGAACAAAAGAGGATGGTACTCAACTATTGCCTATTCCTACAAGATGCTGCAATGTCCTTTTATTGCCAATACTTCACTTCCCCATGCCATGCCACCTGTCCTCTGAAGATACGAGCAGCCATGAGCACTAAGGGCTGCTTAGTGTAAGGCAGCCCTTGGGAAGTAAGCAAGTCACGATCTTCAGAGTTAGCTTGCCCCAGCACCCACACATGGCTATCTGAACTGATACTGGCTGGCGGGATTCAAGGTCCTGCCTGCCTGCCTGCCTGCCTGCCTGCTCTAAACTCAGCACACATCTGCACTGACCCACCTGGAGCTCCAAGCTGCAGGTAATAAAATAAGAGCAGTGATAACTCAGTGTTCACCTTGGCAAAAAAAAAATAAAAAATAAAGGAGGCAGGAAAATGAATCTTCTCTCAGGAAATAAATGGTGCTCTGCAGCTGGGAGGCTGGATTGCCTCGTGAAGGACAAACACATCATCTTTCCCAGCCAAGCTCAAGCCATAAAGTACAGGCTTCTGTCCATCAGGAATCCTGAGTAGGGGCTGGGTGGACACTGCTCATCTGCCAATGCGAAGCAGCATCTCAGCCAGGCTCCAGCCTGTCCGGGAACTAGGGGCCCAAATTGCAGCATGCAGTCCCTCTTGCAAAGCCATGCAACCAGCAGCGACTCCCAACCATTGCACTATCAAGGCCATGATCTAACAGAGAGAAAGGTTTTGCTGCAACAAGTGCCTGAGAAATCGCTTCCGGAGTATTCAAGGAGAAGTTAAGAGGGATGAGAGCAAAGTGGAGAGCCAGTCCATTTCCAAGCCCTCTGCAATGGCGGCAACCTGCTAGTGGAGAGTAACAAAGCCGGGTCGGACCCGATGCCTGGGACTTGACCCAAGGACGCACGGTAAGAGAGTCCTAGGCTTTGGGCGTAAGGCTCTTCGTGCTGGCCATCATGTAGCGAGCTCTAAGGTTTATAGGGTATGTAATTGCCGACTAGGGACATCCAGGGATAAAGGGATGTGGGACAGACTGAACAAGTCTATGGTATATACTGGCAAACATGGGAACCAGGGTAGGGGGCAGGCCTGGTGGGGGTTATGGGGAGTCGCCCCAACTAGGCTGCAGCTCCCATTGGTTTGCATGAGGGCCAAGTATCAAGTGGGCAGGATCGGGCTGGACTGCAACACCCATTGGTTTGTATGGAAGATATGAATGGAAACAGAACTGACCCAGCAATTGCAACCACCAGCATAGGCATAAGCTGATTGGGGCGACGGACTATGCCCTGTGCTGACAAATGCACACGAGAATCAGGTATGGGATCACCTCAGATGAAGCTACTCTGAGGATCCCTCCAACTGAGCTGCTGATCTCAAAACCCCAACCACAAAGAGACTATGTCAGCCAGTGAATTCTAAAGAGATTTCATTGCACTTGGAGCAGCAAGGTTGGCAGCAATTCAAATTGTTGAACTATCAAAACTGCTTGAGCAGGACCCTCGGAGCATGCCCCACATCAGGGACCTAGGATGGGTGGAAGGCTGGGTGGGGCCTTTCCCTTTATCTCTTCCCTTACCCCGGATACCAATAATAATAATAATAACGTGGAAACAGTGGTCTTACCCACTTTGCTGTAGCCCGTGACCCTTAATGCCCTAATCAACTGTGTAAAGATTACCAAAATAAAAGAATTTTTTATGAAGAGGCCAGTCAATTTCCAAACTGCCTCTGGTTAATAATCTTTCTCCCACAGAGCTGACCAAAGCTGCTGCCCAATTCTCATGTCCATGACGACTCAATGGGTCTCACACGAGAGGTACCCAGCTCTTCTTGCAAACTAGCAACTCCTACGCAAGAAACTTACTCTTAAGAAATGCAAGCAGAGGTGCACTCCACATCTGTGTACCACCACCCCCAGGACAGCATTCATCAGAGCACATCCTTTCGGGGCTCTGCTCCACCTGTGGAATTAGCTCTTCGAATGAAGCCCAGTGCAACCTGCCGGTCACTCCCATTGTGTGAGACGCCTCCTGTAAAGCAAGGAGCAGACCCTCACCAGATACCAAAGTTGCCGCATGATCTTGCAGTCATCAGAACGAGCCACCCGAACCTAGGTGAGCCTCCTGTGCTTGGCTAACACAACGGCCGCCGCACTTTGAGCAGCAGCAAGCAAGTACTTGCCACATCTGTGTCCTGGGAGTCCCACTCCTCTCTGGTCCCCAGTCACTCACTGTCCAGTCCTGTGTGAGGAGTTAGATTGGGTAGTAGGCAGTTAGGGGATTCTGGGTCCCCAAGTCATCATTTTTTCTCAAATATAAAGGGGTATTTTCCCCACCATGTCTTAGATTCACCAGAGCATGTCTCTCCCGAGACAAGTGCATATCTTATCAGGAATGCTTCCCCCAAGAGACAAGGGTGACATTAACATATCAATTCCCCGCCTGAAGCACCGCCCATTCTGTCTCCAGCCATTGCCAAAGGGGGAGGGCTTCACACTGGCCTCTTTATCATTAGAAAGGGACCAAGGAAGTTGGCCAGTGACACCTTTCTGGCCTTTTGTCCCAGGGCCAGGTACCATGGAAACCAGAAATTTTCTTTGTTTATGGAGAAACATCTTTGAGGTAAATCTTTAAAAGATGCTTTCTCCACCATTGATAAGGATTTCTTGCTTTTTGTCAGGCCACCATGGCAGGGGATAAGGGTCCTTTTCCTCCTGCCACTATGGCAGGGGATAAGGGTCCTTTCTATCTCAGAGCCCCATCCTGTCACTAAGACGGGAGTCTCCTTTCTCACTTTTCTAATAAATCTTGCTTTAAAACTAAACTGTCCGCACGAAAATTCTTTCCTGCGAGACAAGAATTGAGGTTGCTGCCGTACTCAGGGTCAAAAACCCTACAAGAGTCCCACCATGGCCTTCAGCCTCTGCCATTTTACTGTGACAGTCGCTGAGCACTGAAATAAGCATGCCGGAAGAGGTTCTATACAGCAGTTAAAACTCCACTTTGGGATGCCCATCTAGCATACCAAAGTGCCTGAGTTGAATCCCCACTCCTCCCTCAATTGTAGCTTTCTCCTGCTGTGCACCTAGAGCGAGCAGGGGGAGGAGGGGGAGGATGGCTCCAGCCATGGAATGTCTGCCATTCACATGGAGATGAAGGTTGTGTTCCTGGCTGGAGAGTGAAGTCAGGCCCAACCTTGGCTGTTGCAGAAACTTAAGAAGAAGCCGGTAAATGTAAGATAGCTCTCTCTCTCTCTTGCTTTCCCTTTACAATAAAATAATACTAATAAATTTTGAACAATTTTAGATAACTAACCACGCAAACAGAAAGCACAATTTAAAGAGAAGCCACTCGAAGGCCTGGCTTGTCCTCCACCGTCATCCAACTCCTGCCCACTGGGAAGCAAATTGGGCTTTACTGGTCCAGCTGGGAGTCTCCCTCACCTTTCCCTGGTGAGTACAGCAAGGCTCCCTGATGTGCACATCCAAAGCACACCTCTTCGGATCCTTGATGCTTAATAGCAAATGTGTTGGCTGCCTGGAGTCATCCTGACTTGTCCACTTTGCAAAATAAATGTAAACTTCACACTGGAAAAACAGTGAGAGAGGGAGTCTAGTTTGGTCTCAGCAGGTGGTCCTGCGTCACAAAGGAGTCAAGGTCATGAATATCACGGCTGGGGAGGAGAAAGGTGGACTGAAGGTCACAGTGTACAGCCTGCTACACAGAAGCAGCACTGGGGTTCTGTTGTACAGTGGGGTGGCTAAAGGTTACGTGTATTTCTCTGTTAAGAACAAACCATCTCAAAGGTAGGATTTGGCGTGCACTTACCATAAAGAAGTATCGAATTTTTGAAAGGACAATGATAGCTACTCTGAATGGACACTATAGAATGTGTTATTTTAAAAAGAGTTCTAGATTTTACATTATTACGCGCAGCTAATTCCCACAGCCTGGTTCTTTACCGTGAGCCAAAAACACCAGACGCAATGAGGCATCTCAGGAGGCTTATTCCAGCAGGGCAAAAAGGGGATGGAGACGGTGGGAGAGCAGCACAAAAGTGAGGTGGGGGGAGGAGGAAGGGGAAGAAAGAGAGAGAGAGAGAGCTGCACCTGGGGGCCTTTTCATCACTCAGGTGAGTCTGAAAGGTGTGGGGGCGGGGATTGGGAGGGATTGAGGGCAGGCCCCAGGGGATTGGTGCCTGAGACTGTCACAGGTGATTGCCTAAGAATGACTGGTAAGTGGGCGGAATTGGGGATGGGACTGGGAGATTGGGGCTGGGATTCTCAGGTGAAATGCCCCATTGGTGGACAGCTGGACTGGCACGAATTTCCTGAGCTGCGAGGAAGAGGAAATGGTGCCAGGTCCAGGGTCGGATATTCAAATAACTCCTTATGTAATGTATTCACGGACTGAAACATCCCATGGTGCCCCAGAAACACATACCATCACAATATGTCTGGTTTTTTTTTTTTAAACCAAAAATTCTGAAAAACAATTACCATCCCTCCCCTCCAAAAACACAGCTTCCAGATGATTCTGAACCGGTCGGCACTCAAAGCACCATGGCCACAATTCAAGAGACAGCCATCAGTCAAGGCTCTCACCTCCCCTGCACCTGGACCCCATTGAAAATGGCAATAAACGAAGGAGACAATCCTGCATCGGTAATGAGGGCTTCCTAAATGGAACATTTTGAGCAGTGAAGGCTACCCGCCCAGCCTGCATCCAAGGACGATAAAATGTTGACCAGGGATTTTGTGGCTGAGGGCCCCATCCCATGCAAAGAAGCCATCCAGTCTCTGGATTGGAGCCCTCTCGCTCCACGGATGGAGTTGCAGCAACTGCTAATGGACCGACAGCAGTCTGGTGCTTTTCCATTCGCTTGTCAGCAGTCAGGAAGGCCTCCCCAGGGGATGCTCCCTCCCAGGCAAGGTGGCCACCTTACCGTCCAGCTCCTCCACAGAGATGTTGGCCAGCTGCTCACTGTCGCTGCCAGCAGAGAGAGATCGGTTGAGATAATTCCCCTTGTACAGCAAGCCGGCGGTCACATGGTGGAAGGGCATCTTCTCCCTGGGCCCAGAGGAAGAGGAGAATAAAGACAGCGTCACTCACCATTCATTCCCGTTTTAGAGTACATCCATGACTCACAGGTGGACAGTACTCTGCTAAGGATCAGGAAACCATTCTGGAGGGAAAAACAAATCAGAACATTCCTAGGATCCCAGTGGCCTGAGCAAGTCCCAGAGGATCTCGGGTCTACCTCTTCCTTCATGGCCCCCACTTCATTATGAATCAGAACTACGACGCTCATGACGCTCGTATGAACCATAGCCTATCCCATCATCGTCCAATCGTCCCTTTCTACAAACAGGAAGCACCTATGGCTCCTTGCTGGGCTTGAGACATTCTTGCTCAAGAACTGCACATAGAAATGTCGGGCCACCCAAGACTTGGATGTTGGACACCCACGCATCTCACCTGGCTTCATGTGAAGCAGGTGTTCGTACCACAAAGCCCAGTCTATGATGGCAGGCAATGTCTATGGCTCTAAGCAAGAACACACAGTGGCCGTGGAGCCTGAGATGCAGACACAGCTTGCCCAAGTGGCTGACAAGCACAAGTTCTGAGACAGCCGCGGCACCTGCAAGGCGGCCATGGACACTTAAGGCATCCCAGAACCAAGCAGCAGGTGGCGCTATTGCAGGAAATTAAAGCATTGTGTTATCTGAGACTAACAAATTCTCAGATAATACACCTGGGACTTAGAATGTCCCCCAAGGGACAGTCTCTGGGTTCAGATGAAACAGAAAAAGAGGGAGGGAGAGAGAGAGAGGGAGGAAAAGAGAGAGAGAAAGAGAGAGACTATGGACAATGGAAGAGCAAGCACAGACAGGCGCAGAGAACACAGCTCCATCCTGACTTTTTCAGCCCTGTCCTCAGTTCTGATAACACATCACGATCTGCAAAGGAGGCTGAGGCTGAGGAATCCCTGAGCAGAATGCAGACTGACTGGCCTGGAGCAGAGAGGGGGTGAAGAGGAGCAGGTTCAGGACACCTTCATGGCAACGTTCCTGCCAGGCCAACCGGAAGACTCTTAGAAGGGCTGATCTCCCCATCACTGGGGGCACTCAAGTAGAGGCTGAGGGTTTCCTGGTCAGGGATTCTGGGAGGAACAAATGACTCCTGAGCTCTCTTCCCACCCACCCATCACTCCCTCTGTGAGTCGTTTACAGAGTCAATTTTGGGCACAAAGATTGGCAGCCGTAAAGCTAGCTGGAGTGGCCCAAGAGGCTCTTTATGCAGTCCTCAATGACAAGGTGACAACCCAGCCAATGGAATGCTAGTCTCTCTGACAAGAGCTGTTCAGGACACACACATTCTGCTCTCTGCCAGACCACGCGCATCTACAAAAAATACTCAAAAGAAAGCACCCTGCCCTGTTTCTGCTATGTTAGACCTGACAAGTACCAGGGAGCTGGGATGCTGTCATCTTTGCCCTGGGACACCACTAAGTGGCAACTGAGCAGGATGCTATCCCGTCTGAGTCTAGGGCACACTGGTATCTTCCACTGTGGGCCAAGGGTCGCCATCTCAGACATCACCCAAAGGGACTTCGAGAAGTTCAAGGACTGGACCAAGAACCCAGAGGGGCTGAGTGAGAGAACCAATTCCAGAGCTCGGCCATCCCGAGTGTCAGTCCATGGAGCAGCGTCAGCTGAGAACCGGCCATTTCCACCCAGATGTCAAACCCCTCATTTCAGAACTAAGATGTCTAAAAGGGAATTCATTATCTTCCCACAAAATAGGCCACACTGCCAGATTTCCCCATCTTCCCTACGAAAGGTGCTTTTGCCGTCATAAGAACTGGGACGTCTCACAAATGTGCTGGCCCTTGAAAAGCAAAAAGAGGCCCACAGCAGAGGTGAAAGCTGAGTGGCTCAGCCTCTGCAGAGGCCTGCCTTCCTTCCATGGCTAACAAAGGTACAGCCTCAGTCCCATCATAAAGGGCACAATGCCAGAAGATGTGTGCACCTGCCAATGGCGAGGGGCACATCTTCAGCTACCTCTAAGTCAGACTTCCCTAAATCTATCCTGACAAACAGACAACAAGAATTTAACCCTGCTAGGGGTTAGATGGCGCAGTGGTTAAGGTCCTCGCCTTGCACGCCCGGGATCCCATATGCACGCCGGTTCTAGTCCCGGCAGCTCCACTTCCCATCCAGCTCCCTGCCTGTGGCCTGGGAAAGCAGTTGAGGACGGCCCAAAGCCTTGGGACCCTGCACACGCGTGGGAGATCCGGAAGAGGCTCCTGGCTTCAGATCGGCATAGTATAGGCCGTTGTGCTCACTTGGGGAGTGAATCATAGGACGGAAGACCTTCCTCTCTGTCTCTCCTCTCTGTATATCCGCCTTTCCAATAAAAAATATATAAATAAATCTTAAAAAAAAAAAAAAAGGAATCTAACCCTGGGGGAAACATCCCACAGCCATCTATCTCCTCTTTTCTCCCAGTTCATTTCCACAAGTTACTAGGGAGAATCAGATATGCGAGGTAGAACCACCCTCCCCTTCTTTAAAAAAAAAAAAAAAAACTCTGACTTCCTGGGAGCGTTGCCATAGTCACTTTCATGTGGGCTGACAATGCCCCAGGTCAGGGAGATGACACGTCAACCTGTCCTGGTCATAGCCAAAGCTGTTCCCTGGAGTGAAATGTACCAAGGTCAGTACAGGCGGTCACATCACTCCCTTCGTTCTAGCACACTCTGGTTGTTCGGCATTTCTTCAATGTCTTGCCCTCACCACCTTTGACCTGGCTTCTACACAGCCACCGGAATGAGGTCACACACAAGCAAACGCACCAACCCACACCCCAGGCTCAGCCACAGAATGGATGCTGAGTATTTTGCATAGGAAACTGAATCCCACTTGATAGAACAACATCATTTGCTTCCCAAAAAAGCAGCTTACAAAATTAGGTACGCATTTAGTTCATTCAGTCTCTGCATCCAGAAAGCTCCACATCTAGTGGGAAAGAAAACACACACCACTGAAGCATCTACATGGATAAATAAAGTCATGTTCAAGAAAGGGAGCGACGTTATTGCAAGTAAGCTAAAAACAGCTGTGCAATTAAAGCCTAAAAATTTCACTCCAAACCGCTGGGGAAACCCGAGCTTTCAAATGCTTTCCTTGGGTAAGGAAAAGCAAGTTCATCCACCAGGACAAACTCTGTCCTGTAACAAAAGCCCACCGTACACCTCTACATAGGAAGCGAAGAAAGATAAACATTTTCAACAGCAACTTAACTCATTTGGGAAATACTTCTGTGACCATACACCATGTGAACAATCCCCTTACACTTTACGTAAGACAAGGCTATTGTCTGAGGCTCGTACGCCAGCGCTCTCATGAATGGTGCTGCACCATTAGGCAAGGGAAATCAGCCAAGCAGCTGGCCTTTCTGCTTTTCTGCCTTGTGAAGTCACAACATCGAGGCACCACGAGCAAGCGGACAGCAGCCCCCGCTGGACACCAGATCTGCTGACCTGCAAGCCACAAATTCTTGTGGCTCAGAAATTGCTCCCTCATTACGGTACTTTCTTATAGTGGCAAGAAGTAAGACAAGCAGTATGGTTTAACGATCCGAACTTTCTGGTTAAATCCAGTGTCAGATTTGAATCTGGGCTCCTCCACCCTTATGAGATATTTAAATAATTCAACCTCTATGCACCCAGTTTCCTTTTTCAGTGACGTTGTAGTTTTTTGAAACAGAACAAATTTTACTGTTGTAAACATTAATTAAGGCCAGATATGGAAAGTGCTGAACTTGGCACCAGGCACAGGCTCAGTAAGTGTTTGGTTGGGACCCTAGGAAGGCTTTGCAGAGACAAAAAGCAAGTCAAGGATATATCAGTTTGGAAGCCAAGCATTCTAGATCATACAAGAAGGTCACGAGGAGCCGGCAGAGGGCAAGCTTCGGGGAGAAGATGGCTGGAGTATGAAGACGCTGCAAGAGGCCAGGCTGAAGGCACAGCACCCAAGGAAGCTTCCAGCACTGAGTGGTGTCTATAAGCACTGGCTGTGTCACATGGAGGAGACACCTGGGGTAGGAAGCACTGGAGCAGCAGACGAGGCTCTTTCCTGGATTCCAGGGTCACATTTCTGAGCAGGTGTTGGGAAATCAGAAGCAAGGGAGGTGGTCCCTGTTGTCAGGCAAGAGGGACGTTGGTCTCTTGACAGAGGAGGCAGCTAGCTGCAAAGCCACACTCAAATGCTGCGTAAAGATGAAGCCCTCCTGGGACGGTCCATGTTATGCTTCAACGTGACTGGACCGCACGACAGGGTACATGGCTAACCATTCCTCTGGGTGTGTTTCTCATCCAGAGGAGAGAATCATGCTTGAGAAGCATCTTCAACTTGATGGGTTGAGCCAAGCAGGTCGTCCTTCCCAAGTGGGGTGAGTAGCCTTCCATTCTCAAGGATGCCGGAACAGAATGAAATCGAGAGGTAAAGGGGACCTCGTGCTCTCTGCCCGTCCTTGAGCTATGCCTTCGACCTTCTCCTGCTTACATGTGAACGGCAGCCCGCACCACAGCCCCCACCCCCAATCCTCAGGCCTTCACATCCAAAAATCCACGTGTTGTTCTTTCTAAAGCAGGCATTTTCCCATGCGATTTGTTAACAGCCAAGTCCAGGACAAGCTCGAGTCAAGAACTAGAAACTTCATGCTGGAAGAAATCATTGCAATTCTATAGCAATGTATAACACTGTTCCATCCTCTAAGCATTGGACCTATAGGCTTAATTTTTCTGTATTCTTTTTGACTGTTTTAACTTTTATGTTTCCTTCCCCAAATTCTTTCCGGCTATATTATGTAAAATTATCAATATGCACATGTGTAAATTTAAAGTTTAAAATCAGCCTTCTTTGCAAATAGTTGAAGAAAGCATTGCTTTAAAGTACTTTAAGATACACAGAATTTTGACAATGGACTCCATGGCGGCGGGGGAGCAGGGAGAGGAATAAAATGCTTTGATAAATGCACTTTAATATGCCCCTCAGATTTTTTAA